GTTAGGCCTGCCGTGCCAAATACCCTCTACTCGTATTCTTTTCTGTTCCTTTTGGGAGACCCAGTTGAACATCAGGGAAGGGAACAAGAGTGTGGTGACTGAGATTCTCCTTTTTTGAGTCATGGATTTCTGCGTCTGAGCAGTTCTAGATCTTCTTGTTCACCGTGATCCCAGAACACACTAGGACAGTCGGACCAGATCTGCACGGGGCTGAGGACGCGAGACTGTCCCAGCTTGCTTCTGAGAGCTTTCCCTGACCTCCTTCCTGGCTGGCTAGACAACCTCCTCAAACCGGAGTGGGGTGGGGGGAAGAATCCCCCCAAACATTTTCATCACATGTCATGAGCTGCACGCATGGACTCAAAACCCACCAGCTCATCCCCGCTTGCTAATGTCCCCCCACCCCTGATCTCAACCTTCAGACCTCACTGCCTCTCAGAGGCCATACCTTTGTAGGAACAGGTTTCTGGGAGGCCCTAATATCTGATCTACTTCCTGTCTCTCTCAGATCAACTTAGAGCAAAATAAAAAATACGGCCCTAAAGGCAAGCCAGGTGCCATCTGACCAGCCTAGACAGCAGTGTGGCTTTCGGTTTGGCTACTCTCTTTGGTGGATCTCAGGTGTCTGGAGAGATCAGGCCAGTTGGCCCTCAGGCCATACCCAGCTCCCCGCCTGCTCAAACAGGCAAAGCACAAAGCAGCTGCCAGTTCTCATCCTTTCTGCTGTTTCCTGTATGGCTGAGTGTGTGCCAACCGAAACTAGAGATCGCATAGGAGGCAGGTTCTAGTATCAGCCTCTTTTATCAGTGAAGAAACAGACAAGAAGAGGTAGGTGCCTTGCCCAAGGCCACTGCAAAGGAGTTCCACAGCCCAGAAGGGCCCAGGAGTCTAACAGGACAACCCCTGCTTCTTGGCCACTAGGACCACAGGCGGGAGCCACTGTTTTTCACGTGTCCAGCTTGAGAGCGGGGATGTGGAAGGCCCGGGAGCAGCAAAGCCCAGTGGGAAGGGGCCTCACAGGAGGGCACCGTCAAGCCCCTCATGGAGGAGGGAGGGGACCTGCCCAGGGCACCTGGCATTTGCACAAGGGCAGCTCCTGCCTCTGGGGCATGCTGGAGCAACCCCAGCAAGCCAGAAGGTGGGATGCAGGGGAGGAGAAACTCCCATGACAACCCCACTAAGGAGAAAGAAAGGAGGAAGTGGGAGCCAGGGGGCCCTGTGAGGGAGGGTAGAGGGAGGTGGGCGAGCCTGCAGCAGCCTCCTCTCTCCTCTCCAACATGATCCAGTGTCCTACTTCTGTTTCGGAGAGTTCTACTCTATCAGGCTTGAGGAGTAGCTGGAGGTGGGTGGCCCAGGGCCAGAATTTTCATGCCAGGGGCCCATTCTCTTGGGAGCTGATTGCAAGCCAGGTGTACCAAGCAGGATCTGGGGTGGGGTGGGGATAAGGATGGGGGGAATGGTGAAGGTGGAGGGGTAGAGTCAGTCCTGGAACTTTTTATTTGTCTGACAATCCCCTTGCCTTGGCGGGGTTGGGGGGACCGTGTCTCATCTTTCCCCACAGGGATCCTGGGGCGGGGGTTTGGGCTCTGGAGCCATTGAGCTCAGGGGCTTCCCTTCCCTGATACCGTTTTGAAGAAAACGAGTGTGTGTGTGTTTGAGGGGGGGAATTGTCGAAAGGGTCTCAACAAAGAACTGCCCCCCATGGGAGCTAAGCCCGGTGGTTCTCAGCTAGGGGCAACTTTGCTCCCCAGGAGACACCTGGCGAAATTGGAAGACATTTTAAAGTCATAGTCTGGGGGCGTCTGGGGGCGTCTGGGTGGCTCAGTGGGTTGAGTCTCTGCCTTCGGCTCAGGTCATGATCTCAGGGTCCTGAGATCAAGCCCCACATTGGGCTCTCTGCTCAGCGGAGATCCTGCTCCCCCCCTCTCTCTGCCTGCCTCTCTGCCTACTTGATATCTTTCTCTGTCAAATAAATAAATAAAATATTAAAAAAAAATAAAGTCATAGTCTGAAAATGGTGTGGGGGGTGTGTCTGGCATCAAGGAGGTAGAGGCCAGAGATGCTGCTAAACATCATGCAATGCACAGTTCAGCTTCGCCTCCCCTCGCCCCGCCCCCCAACAAAGAATTATCCTGCCCCAAAAGTGAATCGTGCTGAGGCTGACAAGCGCTGGTTGCTGAGCCACCGTTGCCCATCTCTATCCCCTTCCCCGGGAGTCTTGAACAAGTACTTGCCCGGCATCGCATCTGCTCTGTAACAATATTACGTGGGAAATGCTAAAATCACAGGCACTTGGATCCTGTGAAAAGATAAGCACGGCCAAGGGGGCCTTTGCGCGCCCACCCGAGTCTTCTTCGCGGGGTCTGGGGACGCGGAGGGAGCGTCGGTTCGCTGCACGAGAGAATGGTGCCACCTAGTGGTACCGGGGTTAACAGCAACAGCGGGAACATCTCCAAGAACTGCAAACTATTTATAGGCTTAGCTGCGAAGAAAATTTCTACGGAAGAAAAACGGTGACCACCCAAATGAGAATAAAAAGAGGCTATTTATTCAGAGATTTCTATAGCAAGGAAGTCAGCCACCATCACTTGCACGTGGCAGAGACTCAAATACCGGTGGAGACTCAAATGCTAGATTTATAGAGGAAACTAAAAGACTTCAGGTGTGCCCTGCTTGGAGGTTTTTGGCTCCAGGCAGCTGGAGGCCTGGGCATCCTCTGTGATCGGTTTGGAGAAGATATTTGGCTGTCTCTGGTTGGTCCTGAGATGGAAGTGGAGGATGCAAATTAGAGAAGTTGGCAGTCATTGATGGAGTCCTGACTATCCCCGGCAGGCAGAGGGTCCAAGTTCTACTGTCCTGTATCTTGCCAGTGTCTGTTGTGTATCGAGTCTGTTCGTGCTGTTACTAATCCTGAACCAGATTACATAAAATGACCCATGTGAGAAGCAGCTTGACTGCAGGCCAACATCTGTGATTTTTAAAGGCTGCCCTTACAGATTCTGAGTTAGGGTTCATATTTGATAAAACGGTGTGATTTTGCTGTCCAGGTGCCTTAGTATGGATGACATCATTCTCCTCACTGACAATCACATGGGGGCCCCAGGAATCCCTCAATGTCACCTACTTGGGTGACTAGAGCTCCTCTCCCCTCTCCCCACCACTACCATTGGCAACACCACCACCATCACCACCTCTAACAGGAGGCTATGGCCCCTACTACCCCTACCATCACCTCTGTTTCTCTCTCCCTTGCTGTTTAGAGCTATATGACCTTCCTTTGGTTCTTCAAGGTTAAAACAAACCAACACCCCTCCCCCACAATGCTTCACACTCAACTCCTTCCTCTTGAGGGCTTTATTCTTTACACATCTGAATACCCTCCCACCCTTCCTCTCCAAAGTAGCTGCCATCCTCGGGGGCTCTCCCAATTCTTCAATTCTTTCGTGCTCTTGCCACACTGGAATGGCACATTATGCGTTCCCCTGTGGGGTCTCCCTCATGAGTCATCAGCTTGCAAGGGCAGAATGTGTGTCTCTGTGTGTCTCCAAGGCCCAGGGCCCAGCATGATACTTAGTTCAATAATATTATGAAGCCTTGATAATAATAGATTCTGCTTAAGAAATATGTATCGGGCTCAAAAAGTATTGGCTAAACGAATAAGCATGGTCTTTCAGGAGCCACTCTTCAAGGTCCAAACACATTCCCCAAATCAATGCTGCCTGGAACTCCCGGTCCAGGGGTAACTTTTCCCCGTCCCTCCTCACATTCTCCTTAGCTGAAAACCCAGCCTGTGTGCAGAACGGGCTCTCAGCTCACCGCGCGTCTCAGCGTTTCCACGCCTTTTGTAAGGAAAGCTACAGAGATGTCGGTGGAGACTGACAGGCACGGGGGAAGGGGAGGGCACACAGGGTGCCTTAGCATTTGGCATTAAATCTATTTATGGAATCCAGGACCCCAGGGCCAGGTTAGCCTCTGAGTCCGCGCCGCTTCCGCTTTAAGGGGCGGAGCCCGAGCGGGCGGGCGGGGCGCTCCCGGAAGACTCGGCCCCCGCGTCCTTCGCGTCGGATCCCCCGCCGGCCGAGCGCCCTCCGCCGCTCACCGCGGCCGGACTGCGGCCGCCTGACTCCGGCCCTCCGCGCCCCTCTTCCCCACCCTCCCCAGCCCTCTCTCCCCGCTCTCTCCGTTCCGATCGCCTGCCCTCCGCACACCCTTCCCGCTGTCGGCGTCCGGATCCTCGGACCCTCATCTTTGAACCTCTGCACCCCTCATCTCCCCGCCCCTGGCTCTTCCCCACGGCTGTACCGGGTCCCCGGGTCTTCGGCGGTTCGCACTGCCCCCTCCCCCACGCCGCGGCTCTCAACCCTTTGTCCCTGGTGTACCTTCCTTCTTGCCCCGCACCACCCTTGCCTCCGCCTTCCTCCTGCTCCCGGCACCCGGGTCCTCCGCACCCAGGTCCTCCGCACCCACATCCACCCCCACCCCCACCTCCACCCCCGCCCAGCCTCTCCGTGCTCTGGGTCTCGGCGGGTGCCCGGGCACCCGCCCGGGTTCGGGTGACCCTGCGGTCGCCAGGCTCTGGCTCCGCCCGCGCGGCCACCTCGCGCAGGTCGCGTCTCCGCTCAGGGCCTGGCCGGGCGTCTGGCTGGGCTCCTTCCGCTGTCACAGTGGGTGCGGTTCTGAAAGCCCCCGAAGGCGCAGCCGGCCTCGGGTCTTAGGTCTAAGCGAGGTACCGGGAGGCAGTGGGGTGCGGAGCGGGGACCGAGGGGCCGGGCTGCGCGGCCTAGGGGGCGCGCCCTGCAGAGCCAGACTGCGCATAGCCTGCCCACACTTAGTCTGCACGCAGGGTCTGAGCGGCGCGGGGTCTCGCTGGTACCCCACTTTTACGTGGGATACTCAGCTGTGACCCTGGACTTGTGTCAGCCTTGCCTAAAGCGTGAACATAGATGGGTGCCCTTTAAGTCGAGGGCAGGCAGCCTAGGCCCGAGGACCTCTCGAAGAGGATGGTGACCCCCTGGCGCTTCTCCGTCAGGGTCTGCTTGTCGCACCTAAGGGGTTTTGAGCTCAGAAAAGAACTCGGCCTTTTAAGATCATCTGGGTGCTCTCGTAATGCCAGACTCTGTTGGCTTCTGCTCGGTACTTTACCCAAACTTATCTCAACCTATGGGGACACTGGTGAGGGGGCCCCTGAGAGCGCATGCCAGCGAAGAGCCAGCTGGAGTGACCTAGCTGAAAATGGACCACTGGAGAGAGTCTCCCAAGAGGTGCGGCTCGGAGGCCTCTTTCTGCACCTCCGCATCTGGCTGCGGGCTGGGGCTCTCTTGATGAAATTCTTCCCTCTCCTTCTCTTCTATCCCCTCACCTACCTGGCTCCCAGCGTCTCCAGCCTCTGGCTCTACCTGCTTCTGAAAGCCACGGAGACTTCAGGCCCAACCTACATCAAACTGGGCCAATGGGCCAGCACCCGGCGTGATCTCTTCTCAGAGGCTTTCTGTGCCCAGTTCTCCAAGCTGCATGTCCGGGTGACGCCCCACCCTTGGACTCACACAGAACACTTCCTGCGGCAGGCGTTTGGGGAAGACTGGGGGAAGGTCCTCTGCTTTGAGAAGAAGGAACCTGTGGGTTCAGGCTGTGTGGCCCAAGTGTACAAAGCACGTGCCAATCCTGCCTTCCTGGAGAATGATAGTGTCCGGAGACTTGCTAAGGCCTCCCGCCTGCAGCCTTCTTCGGAAGCTGGGGCAGTCGGGAGGCTGGGAGATCTCTTTGGACCCCCGGAGAAGGGGTGGGGGTTTCAAGGAAGTCTTGCTGACCAGTCCTTTCTAGAAAGGCTGCTCCTCCCTGAAGCTGACCTGGTTGGATCAAATGCAGTCGTGTCTCAGTCTTTAGCACGTGCCCACCGACCTGAGCCAGATCACCTCATCCCTGTGGCCGTGAAAGTAAGTGCTTGGATGGCTTCAGCAGACACTTTCTGTCTAAAATTTTACCATGTCCATAGAGCTGTCCCGGGTCAGGCACCCCCATTTGCAAATCACCCCACATTGCTTTCTGCTGATTTTTCTTAGCTTGACTTTTGTTTGTGTGCCTATGCTGTGCATCCTGTATTTCTTGGTTTGAGGGAGTGGCTGTGTGAAGAGGGTTTGGGATCTGTTGCCTCTGTGGGTGGAGGAACCACTACTCAGCTGACCTGCTCCTCTGGGGTGAGGATAAGTCAGAGAGTCTCAGACGTGCTGGGGCGAACCCAAGATGGCAGTATTCATTTGTACAGAAGTGGCTTCCTCCTGTCACTTTTCTTTTCTAGTCACCCCTGCCTGGGATCCATCATTTTTTTTTTTTTTAAAGACTTTATTTATTTATTTGACACACAGAGAGAGAAATCACAAGTAGGCAGAGAGGCAGGCAGAGAGAGAGAGGAGGAAGCAGGCTCCCCGCTGAGCAGAGAGCCCAATGCAGACTCCATTCCAGGGCCCTGAGATTGTGACCTGAACTGAAGGCAGAGGCCCAACCCACTGAGCCACCCAGGCGCCCTGGGCTCCATCATTTTTGTCTCTGCCCTCTTCCATCCCGTTCAGCATGGTCCCAGGTCTCCGGCAGACCCCGGTGGCAGGTACCCTTGATGCCTCTCTTATACCTCCTTGGAAACAGCCCTCTCTTTGCACCTACTGAATCATTCTTTCCAAGGCCTGAGGCCTGGCTTTTTTTTTTTTTTTTTTAAGATTCTATTTATTTGCCAGAGAGAGAGAGAGCAAGCGAGTACACACAAGCAGGCAGAGTGGTAGGCAGAGGCAGCAAGAGAAGCAGGTTCCCTGCTGAGCAAGGAGCCCAATGGGGGACTCGATCCCAGGCTGCCGGGATCATGACCTGAGCCGAAGGCAGCGGCTCAACCAACTGAGCCACCCAGGCGTCCCTAAGGCCTGGCTTTTTATAAATGCTGCCAGTGATTCCCATGAGCAGGCATGTTTGGGGAATACTGGACCAAAATATCCTCCGCTCTGTGGTATACTAAGGGAGTGGATGCCAGCTGTGTACCAGGACAGGTGCCAGTCATGGTAGACACATTATTTAGTCTGCAGTAGCTGCCTTTGAGGTAGGCATTGGCTTAACTTGTATCTCTATATATCGCCGCTTTGTTCTCAGCTTTTGAAAGGACTTGATGTGGGGGAGCGGGTAAGGACTATTATCTCCATGGTCTGTTTTGTTTTGTTCTTAGATTTTATTTATTTGAGAGAGAGAGAGAGAGAAAGTGTAAGAGAGAGCATGAGCAGGCGGGAGGGGCAGAGGTAGAGGAAGAAGCAGACTCCCCACTGATCAGAGAGCCCAATCCTAGGACCCCAGGATCATGACCTCAGCTAAAGGCAGACGCTTAACCACCTAGGCACCCCATCTCCATGTTTTAAAAAGTGGAGGGGCGCCTGGGTGGCTCAGTGGGTTAAAGCTTCTGCCTTCAGCTCGGGTCATGGTCTCAGGGTCCTGGGATTGACCCCTGCATCGGGCTCTCTGCTCAGCGGGGAGCCTGCATCCCTCCCCCCACCCCCCAGCCTGCCTCTCTGCCTATGTGGTCTCTGTCAAATAAATAAATAAATAAATAATCTTTAAAAAGTGGAACAGGAGGCTGAGAGGTTGATATCTTGGCCAGTTTCAGACTGGGAAAGAGTTGTAGAACCAACAGGCATTTGAAAGCAGACTCTTTCCATCCCACCTCAGTGCATCCTTGCTGGGGTTCTGTGACTCTTGATCCTTCTCTGACTCAGGCCCTGGTACTGACCCAGTACCTGGTGTGCTCAGCAAAATGCAGATTCTTGCCCCATCCCCAGAGTCGGTGATGCAGTAGGTCCTGGAGAAGGCCTGGCCGTCCACTTCTGGGCACTCCACGGTGACTCTGATGCACACTAAGGTTGGGAAGCCGCTGACCTAAACTTAAGGTATTTGGAAGGAAAAGCCAGCCTGTTCTTTCCAGCAAAGCCAAGTGCAGCCCGGAGGGGCTGGCCCTGGCGTCTCAGCGGAGGCACGCGGGGGCAAAGGAGGCAGGAGCTTCCCAGGTGTTGGGCCCACATCCGTTCTGCTCTGATGAGAAGCTGGCTTGGCTTCCCGGTGCTGGGCCCCGGTCCCATCTGGGTGATCGTCCCCTCCCGACGCCTTCCTGTCCCTGGCAGGTGCTGCACCCCGGCTTGCTGGCGCAAGTACAGATGGACCTGCTGCTGATGAAGATGGGCAGCCGCGTCCTGGCGCTTTTGCCGGGAGTCAAGTGGCTTAGCTTGCCCGAGATCGTGGAGGAATTTGAGAAGCTCATGGTCCATCAGGTGAAGTCTCCTTCCCTCAACTGCAAATCGCATGTCACCTAGTTCTTTCCATCCGCTGTTCAGCAAATGCTGAATGGCTGTGGGATTTCCCAGCGTGTCACAGCCGGCGTGGTGTGATAGTGGGGTAGGCAGTGGTAACTGGTGGAACAAGGAACGCCGGATGCCACAAGGCGATTTCTTGCTTGTAGCAAAGTTCCGTGTGGGTGAACGGAAGGAGGGAGAGGGAAGTCTACTCCATAGTGACTCGGGGACCCATTTCCATCCCAAGGTGGGCACGACCATCTTCAACCCGCATCATCTCGGGTCCATGCGGAATGGGCAGCAGGTCACGGAGGATCCGGTCCGGGATCTGGGGCCTTCCTAGTCCACAGGCCAGGGCTTGACTGCCACGACCCAGTGTGACTGCGCGTGTGCTTGGGAAGCCTTCTTCCTTAGCTCGTGGCAGGGAAGTGGGGGGCTGTGGTGAGGCCTTCAGCATCACTACCTGGGCCACGGGTGGCCGCTGAGCTCCCGGGTGAGAATTTGTGAACTCTAGCACGGTGCCTTTGCTCCGTTTCCAGGGCTCTTGAGTAGACAGGGCCCTCCATCCTGTCCAAGACCCTTAGAATCCTTGTTTGAGTAACAAGACTTGGGGAACACACTTTGGGGGAGGTCAGGGCTCCAAGTAGGGAACTGGCCTGGCTCCCCGTTGGAGAGTGTGAAAGTCGGCAGTCTTTCGGAAGCAAGGTGCTAGGTCCTCATTTATGTCCTCTGACGTAAGGTTTTAAGTCCCAGGGATGCATTTTAATGTTTAAAAGCTTTGCTGTATGCTATGAAATAATGTAGTTTTGTATTTAAAAGAAGGTTACAAGAGAGAAAATAGCTTCTACTCCCACAGCCATCTCCACAGTACTGTCAGTCCCACCAGCCATGCGAGCTTTGGTTCCCCTTCTAGAAGTCGGATGGACAGCACGGGGTGACGAGTGCGATTTTCTCGTCCGTGAGGAATGTATGGTAGGCAGAGGCTGCTGAACCGTAAATATCTGCAAGTAGCGCTGATCTCAGAGACTCCTGTAGAAGTCCCTGTAGAAGTCCCTGTAGAAGTCTCTGCAGAGGTCTCTGCAGGTTCAGTTGGGTTCCGCTGGGGCCCAGACAGGAAGTGGTCTTTCTGTCTTGAGGGTCAAGGCTCCTCCCCAGGATCAGGCTGATTCTTGGGAGGGGTTTACAGACTAAATAGGGAAGAACATTCCCGTTAGAGGGAATAAGGAAGGCAAAGGAGAGAGGGGGAGGCTCAGGTAGGATGGGATGTCGAGCGCCATACGGACTGGGGGAAGCTAGAGTTCAGGGCCGGAGAGTTCATGGGAGGCACAAGAGATGGATCTGAAGAGACAGCTGCCTTGGATGTCATCCTCAAGAATTTAGACTTCATCCTGCAGGTAGTAGGGGGGCACCCCGCAGAAGGGTTAGAGAGAGGGATGGCGGGAGTCAGGGAGCCCCACTCAGGTGCCTGTTACGGCCGGTGTCCGGTGACTGGTTGCCAGTCAGCTTGGGACCCGCAGAGGGGTAGAGCGGGGGAATGGATCTGAGCGTGCTGAGATCTGAGATCCACTGTTAGTGGCCCACTGTGTGGGTGCCACGAGAGAAGAAGGAATGTGCAGTGACTCCCAGGCACCTGGCAGGTGGGGCCAGTAAGTTCTGTTTAGACATGGTGTTTAAGGGGCTTTGGGCTTCTGTGAAGCTTCAACTTGAAGAGAAGTGTGGAGCTGCTGGCGGGGTCTGGCCAGGAGATCGCGGTCCTGAGAGGAGTTGTCAGCTGAGGGTGGGAGGGGATGGAGCACGGGAGCACAGGCTGGCCAAGGGCAGCTGCTAAGAGAACGTCCGCGCGTGGGGGGCACACACAGGAGGAAGGGCTGGGAGACCAGACTGAGAGCAAACGGCTGGAGGCCCAGGGAGGATCATAGGGGGAAGTAAACAGCAGGTGCCAGGAGGACAGCTGTTCAGAAAGAAGGGGGTTCTCAGTGGCACCAGTACCGGGTGCCCCGAGAGGTCATTAGGATCAAGATGGGAGTGGTCCCTTGAGTCTGGCAAGCAAAAGGCTTGCTGAGTGTAGGGAGCAGTGCAGTGGGCCTAGGGGAGCAGGCCGCTGGAGAGCCATGGAGGTAAACCCCTGGGATGGGGGAAGGGCTGCAGGGGCTGGAGTGAAGCGGGGTGAGCAGAGAGGGAAGGGCCTGGAGGCAGGTAAGCCCAGGTGCTACAGGGGTGTCTGCAGCTGTAGCTTCCAGAAGTTCCTGGAGGCCAGACCGCCCTTCCAGGGTTTCCTGGGGCATTCTGCAGGTGGGGAAGGGGAGGCTGGTGGATATGGTGACTGGCTAAGCTCTATGGTGATGTAGAGGCTGCTGCCCCGAGCCCAGATCACCTCTCGTCCCCTTTCCACATCTCTCTAGATCGACCTGCGTTATGAAGCTCGGAATCTAGAACACTTCCAGTGCAACTTCCTGAATGTGAATTCTGTCAAATTCCCCACCCCCCTGCGTCCCTTTGTCACCAGGGATGTCTTGGTGGAGACTTACGAAGTAAGTGAGAGCTTGCTTCCTGGGGCTGTGCCTTCTACTCAGGGCTGGTCCATCTCCGCTTTACCTGGAGGCTTCCATCTGAAAAGACAAAAGCCAAGAAAGCACGGGATTACTGTCCATAAAGCTGAGGGGAGTTTGGATACAGCACGGGCTGGGGAGGCTGTGTAGGGAGGTGGCTGGGAGTCTGGACGTGGCCTCAGACTTTTCTGGACTTGAAAACCTTTCCATTTTATTTGCTGGTGATGTCAGTTTCCTCCTGTGTAACAGTGGGTGCCTGTCCCTGCCTCTCAGGCTTGTCCCAGGAGTCAGTGACACATTGAATGCAAAACGCCTTCAGAGTTCGCACAGGGGAAGTACTCAGCAGTGGCCTTAGCTGTTGCCTGGTCTGGTCCTTTGTAAAACTGCTAAGGTTTGATCCAGGGAAGTGACACGAAAGGCCCATGTTACTGGCTATGTGACCTTGAGGAAGTTCCTTAAACTCTCTGGGCTTTAGTTCTTCTCTTTGCCACTGCGGAATAACAAGACCGATCTCAACGGGCACTTGTCTCAGTGGATAAATAACTAACCTACATGAAATGGTTATTTACTTTGTCCTTCCTTCTCTTTCTCCCCTTTCTCTCCATTTTCTTGCTCGAGGTCACAGAGCTCACTCATGGCCTTGTTGGCTGATTGCTGATCAGAAACTAGCTCTCCTGAGCCCCGCTCCTTGTCTTCTCTGATGACATTACATCTCTGTGGGCAGCAGAGTCACGGGTTTCCTCCAGAATAAACCGAGGGGAATCGTTTTGTTTTTGTTTTTGTTTTTGAGAAGTGTTACCTAACGGAAAAGCGGGCAGGTTCAGATTAACTTGTGGATGACAGATTCAGAGGGATCGTGAGGAAGGGAAAACTCTTTGGGAAGAGTAAGGATGGCAAGGCAGCGGGATGGGTCATGTGGGGGTGGGGAGCAGGGCACTGGGTGTGCCGTCCGGGGTCCAGCTCTTTCTCCCCTGACATTCCTTAAAGGAGAGCGTGCCTGTGTCCAGTTACCAGCAGGCGGGGATCCCCACTGACTTGAAGAAGAAGATTGCCCGGCTGGGGATCAACATGCTGCTGAAGATGGTGAGCGGGCTGGGAGGGAGCGCTCTGGCCCTGCATGGGGTCGTGGGGAGATGGCAGAGACGCTGGTCCTGGTCGGCTGTCAGGGTTGGGGGGGGTGAGCAAAGCAGCAAGCCACCACGTTGAGAGTCTGCTCCAGAGATAGCGGAGCCTACCAGAACGCCCCTTCATTGTACGCCTTTCTGTTAAGCACGGCATCCGGGGCGTGCACCGGTCACCATGCCGGGTGCTGCGGAGCGGGGAGCCAGACCCAGGCCCTGCCCAGGTTGCCTGTGGTTTGGACAAACAGCCAGAGACGCCGCGCGCTCAGTGGTATTTCGTTCATTTGTCCAGCAGCTGAGCCCCCGCTCTGTGTCCTGCCCAGAATTAAGTGCTAGGTAGACGGCAATGAGCGAAACGGATCTGGTTACAATGTTCCTGGAACTACCATTCCCTGGGAAGACAGGCCACAGATCAGTAAAGGATACACAGGGACCATAGGGTCATTCGGGAGGGGCCCGTCCTGGCCTCGGGGTTTGGCTGGCACGGGTGACAGTGGCCGGGGGCTAGATGGCTCGTTGTAGGCAGGAAAGGGGATGAGCGTCCCGGTCTGGAAGGCGCAGGAGCTGGGTAAGAAGGAACAGGTGCGTGGTTGAAGTGGGAGGAAAGGACCCATGTGACTGACGTGGCACGGTGAGGGCAGAGGCCGGTGGCCACAGTGGGGAAGAGGTGAGCACAAGAGGGAGCGGGCCCAGCCTCTACCTCTAGCCTCGAGTGGAAAGTCAGCCACCCCCGACTCAGGACTGTGCCGGGAGAGCTGGGTGTCCGCCCGGTCGGCGCGTGCTGTTTTACCATAACTCTTTGTGGTGGGAGTTCAGTGGGGAACCAGGCCCCAGGGATCCGAGGGGCACCTTGGGCCAGAGGGGAAGCAGCAATGGGAGCAGCTACGGGAGAAGCAGCACCAAGCAGCACCCAGGAGACAGGAGATCATGACAGGCTCCAGATGGCAGGATCGAGGACGGGGGCGAAAGCTGGGGGGCTGAACTGATAGTCATGCGCCAGGCGGTTCAGCCCTGGGGTCAGCCAGTGTTTTGTACCTCTAGCCGGCAGGCGTGCCAGCCCTGGGTTCTCTAGTTCTCAGGATTTCCCAGAGCAGCAGCCATTCTCACCTCCTTCAGAGCCAGAACCCAGGACCAGGAGGGTGTCTCTGGGGCCCTGGGCTGTGGCAGGAGATGTCCCCAAGAGAGCCTCTGTAGCGGCAGCTCTCTGCACCCTCCCCTGGGGCTCTCCTTCCCCTTGGGAAGGCTTGCTGGTGGTTTCTGACCGCAGAGATGACCTTTCACAGGACGCACATTCCTGTCCCACAAAGTCACACCTGACTTCTGTCCATCATAGTCGCTGGAGCTTTCTTTCCTGCTTAGGAGGTTCAAAGCCACTTCCCCCTGCACACCCGATTCTGTGTGCCAGGATGGCTGTTGGTGTCACGGTTAGGCTTCACTATGATGGGCAGAGGGAGGTCATGGAGGGGAAGTCTGATTTAGGAAATGTTTTTGTTTTTTTTTTTTAAATATTTTATTTATTTATAAATAGGAAATGTTTTTTTTAAAAACGTAGTTCTGGGGCGCCTGGGTGGCTCAGTGGGTTAAGCCTCTGCCTTCCAAGGTCATGATCTCAGGGTCCTGGGATCAAGCCCCGCATTGGTCTCTCTGCTCAGCAGGGAGCCTGCTTCCCCCTGTCTCTCTGCCTGCCTCTCTGCCTACTTGTGATCTCTCTCTGTCAAATAAACAAATAAAATCTTAAAAAAAATAAAAAGGTAGTTCTGTGGGGCACCTGAGTGGCACAGTTGGTTAAGAGTCTCCCTTCAGCTCAGGTCATGATCCTGGGGTCCTGGGATTGAGCCTCCCACCCCAGTCCCCGTTCAGCAGGGAGCCTGCTTCTCTCCCTCTCCTTGGTGCTCCTTCTGCTATGCTCTCATTCTGTCAAATCAATCTTTAAAAATAAAATAAAATAAAAATAAAAAGGTAGTTCCATGCATTTTAAGAACTTAGAATTTGGGGAAAATCTTCAAGCAATGGGTAGATAATTATTCTGAATTAGATTATTACTTCTAAAATCACAGAATAAAACTAAGTCCAAGTTCAGGTTGTGATTTCAGGGTTGTGATATGAAGCCCCACATCGGGCTCTGTGCTCAGGGCAGAGTCTGCTTGTCCCTCTCCATCTCCCATTGCCTCTCCCCCTGCTCATGTGTGTGGTCTCTCTCTCTCTGTCTTTAAAACCAATCCATTAATCAATCTTAAAATAAGTCCTTTAAAATGCAGTTCAGTCTTTGGTTTTTCATGTTCCCTTATAATCTTTTTATTTTTATTATTATTATTTTTAAAAATTTTATTTGTTTGAGAGACAGTGAAAGTGAGAGAGATCACAGAGGGAGAGGTTGAACAGGGAGCCTGATGCAGGGGTCAATCCCAGGACTTTGGGATCATGACCTGAGCCAAAGGCAGATGCTTAACCTGAAATTATTTTTTTCTTAAAAATGTGAACCTGGCCTGTCCCAGGACAACTTCTGAATGCATGACATAAGCAGTGAAGCTTTATGTACTCCACCATCGTACTCAATCCCTGGGCACTTACTGTCACCTTGGAAGCTTTTCTGCAAATGGCCTGGTGCCGCTGGGGCGGTGAGGGTTGCCTCTGCCTTGAATAGTGCCGATCTCCTTCCAGATATTTGTGGACAACTTTGTCCATGCAGACCTCCACCCGGGGAACATCCTGGTCCAGGGCGCCGACGGTCCTTCCAAGAGTCGAGAGGCACCGCTGCAGCAGATGGATGTCTGCGACACGCTGGTGGTGGCCATGACCCCTGCCCGCTGCCCGCTGCGCCTGGTGCTGCTGGATGCCGGCATCGTGGCGGAGCTGCAGGCCGCGGACCTGAGCAACTTCCGGGCCGTTTTCATGGCTGTGGTGATGGGGCAGGTGAGCCCCAGCGGGCCTGCGGGAGCTGGGGACGATCTTTCATTGCAGGACGACTCTGCCCTTGTCAATCTTGCAAATGCCTGTGTTTGCCACAGGTGCTCCTGCTGGACATGGGTGGAATCAGCGAGAGGGGCAGGACTGGGAGGGAGAAGGAGAGAGGAAATGAAGCCATCTAAGGGGTCTTTAGTCAGAATGTGCTGATGCCCGTGGGGGACACCTGTTCCAAGCAGCTCAGGGTTTGGGATGAGGGGAGGAAATGACTCCAGCCCGAATGCTGTTTTGTACCAGTAGGTTCTCTTCCCTCACCAGCAGGCCTGTGGGTGGTCATTGGGAACACTGGCCTCTTGTCTGAGTAACCATCAGGCTGGTGAGAAGCAGCAGTACAGAGGACTTCCGATCCAAGTGGGGGAAGGTCCCTAGGAATCTGGATTGGTTTTTGACTCCCGACCCCGTGGCTGCGAGGGGCTTCGGTGGTTAAGAATTATTATTTGCAGAAAGGGATTCGGCACAACCTCTACTGAGTCAACTTAAAGTATGATGTCAAGAGTGACCATGAAGAAACCCTCCGACCAACTGGTGTGGAATTTTCCAGCAAGAAAGACCCTGGCAAAGAGAGAACTGTTTTTGTTGTTTTAAAGGCAGAATTCAGGGGAGCCCCTGCTTATTTGGGAGCCTTCTGAGGGGACAGTCCAAAGGCTTGAGTCTGAGACAGTTGAAAGTGTCCCCCGAGTCAAGGTTAAACACTGAGGTCCAGTGGCAGGTGTGGGGGGGGGCATTCCCCTGCACAGATTGGGATGAAGGAAAGTTACAGCCAGAGAGAAAGAGTTCGGCTCCCGGGGCTGCACTGTGGGAGGTGAAAGGCTCTGGGAGTGACTACTAGGGTGTTCAGGGAGACTAGGAGGCTCTGGTCTGAGGGTGCCCAGGGTGGAGCAGGAGGAGGAAGGCTGGAGCACAGAGGCTGGGTCAGGTGTGAGGAGGGAATTCTCCTCAGCCAAGAAGAGTGCCCACAAGGCGAGTATGGCCGGTCCAGTCCAGAGGCAGGTCCCAGCGACTCTGGGGATAAGGCTGGTTCGTCAGCAAGGCCTCGTGGAGCGTGAGTGGCAGGACGCTGGCTTCACCGCCGTGCCCTGCGCGGCTGGTGAAGGCGGAGGAGATGATGGTGAAGGAGATGGCTGTAATAGCATGGGGGGGGCTCCCACCAATTTCAAAGTCTCTGTCGGTTACCATGTATTCTGGATGGGGTGAGATTAAAAAGGGATGGGTGGTCAGAGGCAGGATGGTTGAAACCTTGGGTGGAAGCAACTGGGATAGGAGGAAGTCTGGGCAGAGTGTCTAGTGTTATGACCTCTCTTGACTCTACCAAGTTCCTTGCCTTCACGTCTTGTAGGGCCAGAGAGTGGCCGAGCTCATCCTGCATCACGCCCGGGCCAGCGAGTGCAGGGACGTGGAGGCGTTCAAGGCTGAGATGGCCACACTGGTGACCCAGGCCAGGAAGAACACCATCACCCTGGAAAAGGTGAACAGGCCGCTCGACGGGTGGAGGCGTGGTGGTGTTTACCACCCCGGCTCTTGGATGGAGCAAAGGTCGAAGGTAGACCCTCTTTATGGGAGAGGTCTCAGGCAGCGTTGAGTTTTAAGGCAGATGAAGGGCAAACCTGTCCTCTGCCTGCGTCTTCTGGGTGTGAGCAGGTCCCTGGCATCCCTGACTCTCAAGAGTGGCTCCTTGACCTGGTGGCTGCTGGCACAGTGGCATTTATAGTGCCGTAACCCCTCCCTGTCCCCGGTGTAGCCATTCTACTGCTTCACCTGGGAGCAGTGGCTCAGCTGAGCAGGGAGGGAGGGAGGACGAAGGCTCCTGAGCAGCCAAAGGACATACCTAACATTGCTGTTCTTTATTTACACGTGAACAGAAGCCCAGTGTGTGTTTTAGCCACAGTTCTAGCAAACTTGACTTTTTTCTCACTGAGTGCACGGTCTACACTAGCAGGAGCGAGTCAGAGCAAGGAGTGAGCCCCCGGTAGTGAGGAGTGGTGGCTGCACCCCGGCCCTTCCCATCTTATGGATTCGGATGGGATTTCTGTGTGTGCTGGAGTGATGGGAGTGGTGGGGTAGCAGGGCCTCGAGGCTCAACTCCGCCAGGGAGTTGAACTCACTAGTGCGATGGGAGCCACGATGGTGTGTGTGCGGTCCTTTCTTGAATTTGTCGAACAGTTGGTGTGTGTGTGTGGGGGGCGGTGGTTGTGAGTGTGGGTGTGAGCGGGTGTGGGTGGGAGGATGGGGAGGGACGGGGCTGGAAGGGAGAGGATCAGTGGACGGGCCTCTGCAGTCAGTTTTATTCTGTTTTCCAGCTTCAAGTTTCCAGCCTTCTGTCGAATGTCTTTAAGTTACTGATGACTCACAAGGTGAGGCCCCTGGCGGAGTCGAGCTCCCATGCTCTGGTTGGGTTGGTGGGGAAGGGTCTGGGGAGGCAGGAGGGGGGCCGCAGGGTGCTGAGAGGGACCTCTCCTTCAGGACACCTCAGTTGTGCAAACATTTTCTGTACTAGTCCGTTTGTGGGAAGGGTGTTGTTTCTGTTTCTTGACATGGTCACGGCACGACCACAGTTGGTCGTGGTACCTGTCAGTCTAGCAGTCTCAGTACTTGTGATCCCTCACTGAAGGAATATGTTTTTACAAATGCAAAAACTGACTAATTCAGGCTTTCCATACCTCTTCCCTCCTCAGTTCACATCACTGATCCTTAGTCTTAATGTAAGTCATGCTTAGTTCCTGGCTGGGGTCGGGGCAGCCCAAGAGGATGTGCCTCTTGTTCTGGTGCGTTTGGAGGTCGCAGGGGGGCTGTCTGGGCCTTTGCCTCCTGGCCCAGTCCCTTGGAGGGAAGTGGCCTCATGGTTCTTCACCTCGGCCTTCACCTCAGGCTCTGTCTCCTTGTGACAGATGGCGGTCTGGGGCCACTCTCCAGGGTCAAGCTGCAAGCCGAGGGTGGAAGGTGTTGAGGGCAGGGTAGGTTCTCCTCTGAAGATGGCCTCTCCCGTTGCTTCTCTTGAGGTTCTGCAGTCTGATAATGAAACTCTGCATGGGAAAGGCAGCTTTTTTTTTTTTTTTGGAAATTACATTAAATATTTTTGATTAAACTTCTAATTTTGGAATAATTGTGGACTCACATGCAGTTGTAAGAAATAATACAGAGAGCTCCCGTGTATCCTTTACCCAGTGTCCCCCAGTGGTAGCATCTTACAATATTGTAATGGGCACTGACATTGATATAATCAAGGTACAGAATATTTCCATCAAAAGGCAGCTATCTGATAAGGATTGTAACACACAGCTGAGAGTCAGAAGGGTGTGTGGCCTAGTGCCATCATCTTACAGGAGGCATGATGGAGGCAGGGTGGTCCGTTTGCCTCCCTGGGCCTTGAGGGCGGAGCCCAGACCTGACACACAACCAGGGGGTCTCAGTCCTGTGCTCCTCCTGCCGCTCCGCTCCTGCTCTGCAGCGGCTGTGTGCTTGGAACAAAACCGACACACAGCCTTAGGGCTTCCCCAAGTATGCCATGGACTCGTGGGGTAACTGGTCCAGCAAGCCCGTGTGGGATGCCTGCCACCTGGCATCGGTCGTGCTGGGTGCTTTTCATCCAGTGTCTCATTCAAATCTCAGGACAGTCCGCCGGGGCAGGTATGATCTCTGCCATATTAGCTGCACGAAGAGATGGGCCCCGAAAGGTTAGGTGGCTCCCCACGTCCCACCAGCTGTGCACAGCAGAGCCACGGTCTGCAGCCGTCTCTGGCTCTAGGGTTGCCTTTGTTGGTGGGGTTGTGGTAAAAAGCTTTATGCTTTCCAAAACTTTTGACAAGTTCTGTTTTAAAAATGACTTTAATATCATGGTGGGTTTGGGAAAAGCTTTAATCATTGTTAGGTGGAGAGAAACAGGAGTGAACACACACTCCTGGGAGTTCGGTTGCACGCAGTGTGGAGCGGGTAGCCGAGGCTCACACTCCCCAGCGCCGGCCTGCACGAGCCGCTCCCAGCCCCCAGAGCGGGCCGGAGGACTGGGAGAGTCGTCGTGGGGGTGTACGCTGAGCTCCCTCTCTGCACCCCATAGTGCCTGATTTAGCTGTGTCATACTTGTCAGTATCCCTCTTAAGCCCCTCCACATTCCTCATGGCAGACACCGAAGCCAAGAGGCCGGGCAACAAGCCCGCGGCCACATGGCCCCTGTGCCAGGTTCAGGATCCGGGTGCTAGCAGTCTGACCACAGAACCCGGACTCATTCGGCTTTGTCCTCCTGCCTCCTGTGCTCCAAGTCCCGACACGGCCTTCCCGAGACACAGTGGGGGACACAGTGGGTAGAAGCTCCCTAAAGCTTTGCCATTCACACTGCTGTTCCCGGAATGGAAGAGCAGAGAATGTCTGGTACAAGGACTGTGTTCTAGGTACTTCACTCGGTGTTTAGCTTTTTTAAAAACTTAAAACATGTTTACTTACAGTTAAAAATACATATACAGAATTTACCCTACTTCCGGTGCACAGTTCAGCAGTGTCCACCATATGCACATGGTTGTGTGGCAAATCTCTAGAACTTTCTCAACTTGCAAAATGGAAACTGTATCTATTGAACAACTCCCTATTAATTTCTCTCTCTTCTCGGCCCCTGGCAACCGCCATTCCACTTTCTGTTTCCATGATTTGGGTGACTTTAGTTATCTCGTATAAATGGAGCTGTGCAGGATTTGTCCTTTTGTGCCTGGATCGTTTCCCTCACCATGATGCCGAGGTTTATCTGGATTGTAGCATGTCGCAGGATTTCTTTCTCAAGACTAAAGAATATTCCATAGTGTGTGTGTATACTGTATTTTCTTCATTCGTTCATCCATCCGTGGACATTTGGGCGACTTCCATCTCTTGGCTATTATGAATGATGCTGCCGTGAACACAGATGTGCAAGTGTGTCTTTGAAGACCTGCTTTCAGTTCTTTTGTGTATTTACCCAGAAGTGGGACTGCAAGACTATATGGCATATTCGTGTTTTTTGAGGAAGCTCTATACTGCTTTTCCACACAGGATTTTACGTTCCTGGCATCAATATACAAAGGATCTGGTTTTCCAGATCCCCACCAACACTTGTCGTTCTGACGATGGTCATCCTAACAGGTGGGAGGTGGCATCTCATTGGGGTTTTGATTGCATTTTCCTAATGATTAATGATGGTCAGCCTTTGTTGGCTTGCTGGCCATTTGTATGTCTTTTTTGGAGAAATGTCTATTCATGTGGCACTTAATTTTTTAATGAAATATTTGTTAGAAACACAGAGTAGAAAGAATACAGCAAACACTGAAGAACTCAACACTCAGCTTAAGAATGAAAACATTTGGGGCGCCTGGGTGGCTCAGTGGGTTAAGCCTCTGCCTTCAGCTCAGGTCATGATCTCAGGGTCCTGGGATTGAGCCCCGCATCGGGCTCTCTGCTTTGCAGGGAGCCTGCTTCTCCCTCTTCCTCTGCCTGTTGCTCTGCCTACTTGTGCTCTCTATCTCTCTGTCAAATAAATAAATAAAATCTTAAAAAAAAAAAAAAAAGGAAAGAAAGCAAGAAAGCATTTCCGGTGGTGTTGAAGCACCATTTAACTCCCCAGACAGCTTTTCAGGCCTAGCTCTCTTCCCCCTCACACAGTGGCCTTGAGCAAGTCACTTAACCACCCTGTGCTTGAGCTTCCTTTTTATAGAATGGGGATGATGATAGTACTTCTTTTTTTGTTTAAAGATTTTATTTATTTATTTCACAGAGACACAGTGAGAGAGTGAACACAAGCAGGGGGTGTGGGAGAGAGAGAAGTAGGCCTCTTGCTGAGCAGGGAGTCCGATGTGGGGCCTGATCCCAGGACCCTGGGATCAGGACCTGAGCCAAAGGCAGACACTTAACGACTGAGCCACCCAGGTGCCCCATATGATAGTACTTTTAAGAATTAGTTGAGTATTTCACTTAAATTGCTATTACTATTAACCTGGCTCCAAAGGGGAAGAAGTTGGGGTGCCTGGTCTGCCTTTGGCTCAGGTCAGGATCCCAGGGGTACTGGGATGGAGCCCCGCATCAGCTCCCTGCTCAGCAGGGAGCCTGCTTCTCTCTCACCCCTGTGCTCACGCTTTCTCTTGTTCTCAAATAAATAAATAAATAAAATCTTTTTAAAAAAGGTGGGGGGAGAAGCTCTTCTGTGTTTGAGCAAAGCCATTTGAGCGTAGTCTCAAGAGGCTACTGCAGATCTTGAAGAATGACCCTCATGTAGATTTATAGTTTCTGGTTTAGCTATGAAATATTCATTGTATTATTTTTAAGTCATTCAAACATACACACACCCACCCCTAGAGAAGTACACGCTGCATCCCCCAGATTTTCCCTTAATATTTCTCGTACATGGGAGGTTGGTTGAGTAGATGAGATGGTGGGGAGAACGATGAGGTAGGGGAAAGAGTGTCAGGTAGATGGTAGAAGTCCCAGCAGGCTTACAGTGGACAATCACATGGTCACCCAGGATACCATCTCTAGATCAGAGGGCTTTAGAAAGAACCAGTCTTTTTCTGTTTCAGGTAAAGCTTGAGAGCAACTTTGCCTCCATTGTGTTTGCCATCATGGTGTTGGAGGGCCTTGGCCGCTCACTGGACCCCAAACTGGACATCCTGGAGGCAGCAAAGCCCTTCCTTCTGAAAGGACCAGCGTTCCCCCGCTGACCGCAGCAGTGGGCGTGCAGTGGGCCTTCGTCTCAGGACTAAAGGCCACTTCTGACAGCCTCTCCTGTGGCAGCCTGAACATTTTAAAATTGGGATGCATGGAAGGCATACCACATTTTTTACCCTGACTTGGTTTCAGGCATCTGTTTTAAAAGCTTTGGGTTACTTAGGGGAAGTAAAGGGAGGGAAGACTCCTAGCCATTCAGTCATGGATGCTGGGCCTGGTGTTGGGGATAATAATGTTCTGTGGAGGAGGACAAATAAACTGAGTTATTTTGTTTTCTTGTTTTTGTCTCTTCTCTTTTTAACCCTGTCTGCTTCCGGATCAGGTGGGTCCTGCTGGGTGTTCCGTGACTCTGAGATTTAGGTTGGAAAGTGTCACAGAATCCTCTAGACCCATGGCTTCCAAATATTTCTGATTATGTACCCTACTGGTGAAATACATGTATTTACATGTATATGCGCATATACAGGTCCTACCACCACTAGAAATCTCTGGAGGCACAGTATTTACTTTGGGCAAATTTTGCTGTACTTCAAAATTATCTTGATAATTTTAAATATTTTTTGATGATTTCCTGAGCAATTTTTTTACAAGGTAAAATGATACCAGGGACAGGAGCAGAATGGGCTCTGCCATTTTCTTCAAGTTCCCCTGTAGTCACATGTTAGCGTTCAGACTGCAGTTTCTCTGAGTCATGTTCAGCCCCTTTTCCATTTGTCTGGAGTCAGTTTTGGCTAATATTAACATAGAGATAATAAAATCAGTATTTCCCGTTAAACAGGGCTTGAATCTGCAGTAGCGCCCCAGCGACACCCCAGCAAAGGATTAAGGCGGCCACTGCCCACCTTTCTGCATGGGGTCCACTCACAGGCAGTGGGCGGTCCATACGGACTGTGGGTGCCAGGGTCAGCTGGTGGAGTAGGTACTAGTAAAGCTTAGTTTCTTTCTTCCTTTCTTTCGTTTCCTTCCTTCCTTTCAGATTTTATTTATTTATTTTGAGAGAGAGAGAAAGTGTGAGCAGAGGGGAAGGGAAGAGGGAGAGAAAGAAGCTGACTCCCCGCTGACAGGGAGCCTGAAGCAGGATGCGGAGCTTGATCCCAGGACCCTGAGATCATGACCTGAGCCAAAGGCAGATGCTTAACCAACTGAGCCACCTAGGCGTCCCTAGTTTGTTTGTTTCTTTCCCTTCCTTACTTTTTTTTTTTGATAAGAAATAGCATTTTCGGGGCACCTGGGTGGTTCAGCCATTAAGTGTCTGCCTTTGGCTCAGGTCATGATCCCAGGGTCCTGGGATTGAGCCCCGCATCCGGCTCCCTGCTCAGCGGGAGGCCTGCTTCTCCCTCTCACACTCCCCTTACTTATCTGTCAAATAAATAAATAAAATCTTAAAAAAAAAAAAAAGAAATAGCATTTTCTCCTACATCCCAGTGGACTCCCTTGCTTGCTTTGGAGACCACTGCTCTAAGTAGTGAGTGAAAGTCAAGCTTTCTGCTCTCTGGAAGTTCTGCTCTGACCACAGGACTAGATTCTTCCATTCTTTCCTTCTCAAGAATTCCTTTCTGTCTTTTAGGAAGCAACTAAGGTTTAGTCAGAGGTTCATTTGGGGCGGTTTTTTTCAAAGAGCTAGGGTGGCTCAAGGTAGCTGGGAGGGGGCAGTGGCACCGTTTCGTTCCTTCATGGACACTCCGGCCAGACACAGGGCAATTGTGTCAAGTGCACATATGCTGTGAGGTGACAGGGGCATAGGCACAGAGCGGGCACTGCCCTGAGTCCACACCAGCACTACTGAGCTTTAACTAAAAGCCAATCGGTTTACTCACACCACTGTGACACTTATTAGTTATCTATCAGTGCCTACAAACTACCCAAAACTTAGTGGCTTGAAAACAACAAAACTTAGTACCTCACAGTGTCTGCAAGTCCAAAATCTGGGTGCTGCTTCCCGGGCCCCAGCTCAGGGTTTTGCTCGGGCTGTGGGTATCTTGAGGCTCCACAGGGGTGGGTCTGACGCCAAGCTCATTCACAGGGTGGTTGGCACAATTCAGTTCCCCATGGACTGTTGGACCGAGGGCCTCAGTTCCTCAGGAAATTTTACAGCAACAGAAAATGAACACAGGCTCTATGGAACAGAAGAAAAATGGGCAACAGATATGCTTTAATATGGATAATTTGCTTATTTTTAAATTAAGCACATTAAAAAGGCAAAACTTGATTCATAAAGTCATCTTCTTAAGGAGAAAAGGCTATGGCTACTTCCTTGGCTGAACATGGAACCTGATGTGGGGCTCGATCCCAGCACCCTGGGATCATGACCTGAGCCGAAGGAAGATGCTTAACCGACTGAGCCACCCTGGCACCCCTGTGGAATAGGTTCTTGATTTGGGGTTAGGTGCTCTATGTTAGGTCATTTAGAGTCTGTCTTTCGTTAGCAGTTGTCAGTTTGTTAACACTTGACTGGGAATTTGATTCATCATGTAGCCGGTGAGAGCTCAGTGTCAGGGTTTGGCATCCTTCCCCTCACCTTCTGAAATGCATCCTTTCAAATGGGGTGCTCATCATGGGACACCTGGGCGGCTCAGTTGGTTAAGTGGCTGCCTTCGGCTCAGGTCATGATCCCAGCGTCCCGGGATCGAGTCTCACATCGGGCTCCTTGCTTGGCAGGGAGTCTGCTTCTCCCTCTGCCTCTGCTGCCACTCTGCCTGCCTGTGCTCTCTCTCTCTCTCAATCTCTCTCTGACAAATAAATAAATAAAATCTTAAAAAAAACTAAGTATTTAAATTAAAAAAATGGGGCGCTCATCTGAGAACCCAAAAGAAGCCACCCAACCCCTAGCAGCCATCATGCAACCTGCCTAAAGCAGTAAAGGATATTTGCCCTGGGAGTTCTTAAAGCATGTCTGCAGAATGAACGTGCATCCCTGCTACATAGTCAAAATAGTTTACTGATTGGACCCTAAACTTTCTATAGTAAAAAAAAACAGAATTTGTAATGTAAGACATTAAAGCCAAGGACCCCACAAGTGATCTATAAAACAATATTAAGTGCAAGCAAGTACTGAAGTTAAAGTGTTTTTTTTTGTAATTCAGCAAGAAAGATGGTGAGGGTGAGGATGGATTTTAATTCGCCAGAATCAAGGTTTTGCTGCTTAGGAAGGGAAGAAATAACAAAGCATAAACATTTCCTGAATGTGTGGTGTGGGCCAGGTACTCTCTTAAATGACTCCCACTCAGATGGGGTTCCTGATACTCAGAGAAGTAGAGTGACTTGTCCAGATTCATAGAACTATTTACTGAAGTTTGAACTCTAGATATTTTGGCCCTTTTTGTTTTTTTTAATTGTTTAAGCTGTGCCTTTTTCCCCCCCTTGGCCTTGACATCATAAATTCATTCTTTGCTGGGATCAGGGAAGTTGTGTAGCCTGGGGAGTGAGCTGCCAAGGAAGGATGATGGAAAGCCCTGTCTTCCCAAATCAAGAACTTCCTATCTTAGTGGCTTGTTCATGTCACTAGAAAGGGTAAGTGATGAATGGTAGCTCAAAGAAAGCTATGCTAGTGTATCAACTAGAAAGTCAACTTTTATGGAGAAGAAAGTGGATTCTCTCCTTCAATTTATATAACAAGTTAGAAGTTAGGATGGCAGGACAACAGGAGAGAGTCCTACAGGGCCAGAGGGTTAATTAACAGGCTGTTCAGAAGGCCGCAGGGAGTGTAATCGTAAGCTTTACCTGAGCCTAAGTCCACGGAGAGAGATTACCCCGTTACAGGGCACCTGGAGACCCACATCTTGGCACAGAAGGACAGGTGTCATTTATAGTCAAGGCACTCAACTCCCTAAACTCCCTAAGTACCCTATTTTTCTTGCCTGAGTGTGACCTCTTCAGTGTTTAGCTGAAGGAGCACATGATCCATTTCAAATTGAAATCCCCAAGGTGTGAGGCTGGCAGGCTAACTTTATAATTTAATCAAACCTGGAACTTTTTTAGGAAAGCTGTAACCCACGCAGCAGTAAAGACCCTAAGAATTTGCGGGAGTGACGTGGGGTGGGTATCCAGAGAAGCTCAGAGTCCATCCAGGATTTACTAGAAAGCACTATGTAGAGAAAAAGCCGAGAATCCAGGGCGTGGCTCAGGATCAGGGAATCAGAGCGCGGCGTAAACCGGAGGCCACGCTTAAATGCAGATTCCTCGGCCCTACTTCAGACTGCAGAGGATCTGAGGTCGGGCTCCTCAGGTGAATGTGATGCCACCAGCCCACGTAGGAATATTTGGGAACCACCGATGGACTACCGGCCCGTTATCAAGTTTGCAGAGAAACAGTAAGACAATGAAGACCTTATAGAGGCCGTTGTGAGCCTCTTGCAGGAGAGGAGAGTACAAAAGACTAGCTTTGGGGACGTCCTCTGGTTCAGAGGGTCCGGCGGCCTCGAAGGGTCCGGAAGGCAGTTAACTCAGGCGCAGCAGGCAGAGGAGCGGGCGGAGGTGGGAAAACACCACCTAGATCAGCAGTCGGGGAGGAGCGAGAGCCGACTCAGTGCTGGTTTCTAAGCACACCCGTACAGAGGTTCCTAGAACCGAGCCCGAATCCCGGCGACCCGATTACCGCTTCCCTCCCCGCGTACAACACCTTCCGCGGGGCGGGGGGGACCAGCCGGTCGACGCCGTGACGTCACGGGGCGGGGCGCCGGGGGAAGTGACGTAGAGGCGGTGCGGCCTGAGCAGTGCTCTCGGGATGCGAGCTGGCATGTGGGCTCTGACGCGCCTGGCGCCTTTCGTTCGCGCTGGAGGCCGGTTGTTCAGAGGCCCCGGCTCGCGGGCGGCTGGAGGCAGTGGAGTTCGTCAGTGAGTGTTGGCTGGGGGAGGGTCCTCCCGTGCTTCTAACGGAAAACGCAGGTCTCCGGGACGCCTTCACCTTGACACCGGGCGCCTGGGGCGGGTCGGGTCTCTGCAGCGACCTCCGCCCCGAGGCATGCTGGGACTTGAAGTCCGGCTCCGCGACCTCGAGGCTGGAGTGGGATTGGGGTCTGGGCGGTGGGCTCACTTGGCAGATTTAAAACTGTGTCTCGGGCCACTCCGGCCGCAGGGGAGCCTGTCGTCGGGAAATTCAGTTGATCGTAGAGGAAAGCTGGAGCTCATTGGGAAGCGAGAGCGGGAGTTGGGGAGCGAGGGCGTTCTGGCGGAGGAAAGAACTCGTACCTGTGTTTCCAAGCGGCAGGTGGGAGTCAAGGAGTGGCACGGAGGTGCCGCGGGAGACCTCTGTGTCATTTGTTAAAGCAGTTTTAGGTTCACAACAAAATCGAGCGGAAGGTGTGGAGATTTCCCATAACCCCCTGTCTCACAAGTGCATAGCCTCCCCCATTATCAACATTCCCCATGACAGTGTAGAATTGATTGTCACATTATCGGCCAAATCCCAGAGTTTGTATTAGGGCTCCCTCTTGCAACAACAGAATTGACAGCGAGCAAAGGAGGAGTCGTCACCTGTGAGGTAGCCCAAAAATTCGACTGGAGAGCATGTGCCGGGATGCCATGGGAGGGCTCATCCGCCAAAAACAAATTGGTAGTGCAGAGAGATTCAGTAAGAGCAGGATGGACAAAAGAACGTTGAATTTTTACAGGTGATGTTCCAGGCCCCTTAGATCATCATCTACATTTTTTTCAAAGAGGCAGTGCAGGATCGCGGTTAAAAGCAGGATTCTGGCTCCAAACTGCCTCGGTTCAAATTTCACCTCTGCCACACTCTAGCTCTTTGGCTTTGGAGAAATTTCTTGATGATCTCTAATTGCCTCCCTTTTCTCACCCCCATGATGGGAATTATAATGTCAATTTCCAGGGAGCTGAGTGAATGACACTTCTGTGAAGTATTTTAAGACAGCTGCTGCTGATGGGGCGCCTGGGTGGCTCAGTGGGTTGGGCCTCTGCCTTTGGCTCAGGTCATGATCTCAGGGTCCTGGGTTGGAGCCCTGCTGTCTGCTTAGTGGGGAGCCCGCTTCCCCCTCTCTCTCTACCTGCCTCTCTGCCTACTTGTGATCCATCTCTCTCTCCCTCTCTGTCAAATAAATAAATAAATAAATAATCTTAAAAAAAAAAAAAAAAAGACAGCTGCTGCTGCCTAGTAAGGACCTTACCAGTATTGTTTAACTGTTGCTACTAGGAAATGGAGACTCAGGAAGATTAAAAGAGTGACTTGCTTAAAGTCACATGTCTCTCAAAGTTGTGGAGCTGGGACAAGTTTGAGGTGGAAAGAAGGAAAAGGTCTGCGTGACCTAAACAAAGACCTAAACAAAGACAGTGATGGAGAGCTCCCAGCCATAGCCCTTGACCTTGTGTGGAAAAACTGGAGAGTGCCTCTCTTCACTGAGGTGTTGTTACTTCTGTAACACACCTTATTTTTATCACACACAGTTGTGTGATAATAAAGTGCATACGTATGGAGCATCTTCCAGATGCCAGGGTCCTTTCCAGGTTGTGGGGATGGAGCAGAATACAAGAGAGGTAAGGGAGCTTCCATCCTGGGGAGGACACAAGTAGAAGAGAACATGTTAAGGTACTGTTAAGTGACATGAAGAAATAAAGCAGAAGATTAATGTAGAGAGTGCCTGGGATGGGGGTGGTTGGGGTATTGTACTTAGGATGATGTAGCAATGCAGGCCTGATAGTGATTTGGACTAGGATCTCAGTGGTACGTCAGCCAAACAAAGAGACTACAAGTGTTGAGGCTCTGACTGCTGATGATGGACAAGCAAGCCAGTGAGAGTGGAGTGGGCTGAGTAGAGGCGAGTGTGGTAGAGGTGAGGTCAGGGGAGGGATCGGGGCAGGTTAGTGACGGGCCTGTGGAGATTTTTTTTTTTTTTTTTAAGATTTTATTTATTTATTTGACAGCCGGAGAGGGAACACAAACGGGGAGTGGAAGAGGGAGAAGCAGGCTTCCCGCTGACGGGGGAGCCAGATGTGGGGCTCGATCCTAGGACCCCGGAATCACAACCCAAGCCAAAGGCAGACGCCTAATGACTGAGCCACCCCTGTGCTCCTCAAATAAATATATGTGGTCACTATTTTTAAAAAAGATAACATATTACTCAGCCATTAAATAAGTCTTGCCATTGGCAACCACATGGATGGAGCTGGACAGTGTTATGCTAAACAAAGTAAGTCAGAGAAGAACATGATTTCGCTCATAAGTGGAATTAAGAAAACAAATGAGCAAAGGGTGGGGGGAAAAGAGGCAAATGAAGAAACAGACTCTTAACTTTGGAGAACACACTGATGTTTACCAGAGGGGAGGTGGTGGGGGGGTGGGTGACATAGGTGATGGGGATTAAGGAGGGCATTTGCTGTGAAGAGCACCAGGTGATGTATGAAGTGTTGAGTCATTCTGTTGTACACTTGAAATTAATACTACACTATATTGTAACCAACTGGAATTTAGATGAAAACTTTAAAAAAACCACATATAACACCCCCCCACATACATACATATGAAAAAGTAAAAACCATCTCTTACACCATCCATAGCTAATTATCAGTATTTTATGTAGAGCCTTCCAAATAAAAGTGTTAATATAGTGAATAAATATTTACATAAAAATGAAACTATCATTTCAGTGTGGTATCATGCTGATGGCAATTCTAATTAAGAACTGTGTCTTTGGTGGGCGCCTGGGTGGCTCAGTGGGTTAAGCCTCTGCCTTCGGCTCAGTTCGTGGTCTCAGGGTCCCGGGATCAAGGCCCGAATCGGACTCTGTGCTCAGTGGGGAGCCTGCTTCGTTTCTCTCTCTCTGCCTGCATCTCTGCCTACTTGTGACCTCTGTCAGATAAATAAATAAAATCTTAAAAAAAAAAAAAAAGAACTGTGTCTTTGGTTCATAAAATGAAAAAATAATTAGTATTATTTATAGGCAATATATAAGAGCTTAGGCTTTGCCTCCAATAATACCCCAGTGTTTTCATTTGTAAACATTAAGAACCATAGGATCTGTCTCCTAGGGTTATGAAAATAAATGATAATGCATATAAAATGCTTCATGTAGTGTCCGGCACATGGTAAACACTCAGTAAATAACTGTTCATAATCTTTAAGAGCAGGACGGGCTAATAAAAAGGGTAGGATGTAATATGTATCAGGGACCATAGATGTATTTGTGTTCACAGATCTACAGTACATTTGGGAGAAATGACAGTGCAGTTTTGGTAGTTTTTGCTGCACAAAAGAGCCCATTTTACAAGCTGTTCTTACCTGAAATGAAATTTTTTTTAAAAGATTTTATTTATTGACAGAGACACAGCGAGGTAACACAAGCAGAGGGGGAGTGGGAGAGGGAGAAGCAGGCTTCCCGCTGAGCAGGGAACCCAATATGGGGTTCTATCCTCATGTGGGGCTCCATCCCAGGAACCTGAGCTGAAGACAGATGCTTAACTGAGCCACCCAGGTGCCCCCTGAAATGAAGTTTGTGAATACATTTCTATGGGAATTCTCTCTCAACTCTGTATTTTTGTATAGTAGAATATATACAGCTGCTAAATAGAACTTGACAGTAATGCCATTAGGTATGAATTATATTAAGTTAGATTTGATCAATAATAATTATAATCTAACTGAATAAAATGACTGCAGACCTCATGGATTGTGTCCCACAATTTGTCAACAGAATCTAAATGGAAAAAAAAGAAAACAAAACAGAAAAAGTTGTTCATACTTAACTGTTTAAGGCTCTTTGTTTTGTTCAGAACTATTAGCTTATTAAAAAGGATTTGCTGGAGTGCCTGGCTGTCTCAGTCAGTGGAGCATGCGAATTTTGATCTCTGTCGGAGTCATGAGTTCGAGCCCCACATTGGGTGTAGAGATTGCTGAAAAAAAAAAACAAGAACAAACTTACCAAAAAAGATTTGATGAGTACTCTTTTCCATATAATATTCTTTATATTAGTAAAGACTGGGATGCCTGGGTGGCTCAGTTGGTTAAGCAGCTGCCTTCGGCTCAGGTCATGATCCCAGCGTCCTGGGATCCATTCCCACATCGGGCTCCTTGCTTCGCAGGGACCCTGCTTCTCCCTCTGCCTCTGCCTGCCACTCTGCCTGCCTGTGCTCTTTCTGACAAATAAATAAATAAAATCTTTAAAAAAAAAATAAAGACTGTAATAGAGCAGAGGACATAATTTGCCTTTGAAATAGATATGGCTAAACAAAACAAGATTAATTTCCTGATTTGTTTCTCTGGATAAGCTAAGTGACCGACTACTGCAGGTTCACATCCCTTAATTGAAACTTTGGGGCCAGTACCCCATTATTAACATGCTCCTATTTCTGCTGTAAAATCCATGAATATTCTCTAAAGGGAAATAATCGTGTCTCATCCATGCAGGCCAGTTTTTGCTGCCAAACGAGTTTAAAAGCAAGCTTATGGAAGACGAGCTTCGAGGGATTATGGAGCTCTGTCATCCTGTACTTTGTAGAGGAGATGAGAAACGCTAGATTTGGTTTCTAGATGGAACTCAAAAGTTTTGGATGACTTCAGACTTGGAAGAGGAACCGAGTTGCATGACGTTTTATTCTGTCTCGTAGTGCCGGTGGTGGTGTGCATATCGAGCCGCGGTATAGACAGTTTCCCCA